GCCTCGCTCCCAGGTGACAAGGTGGTCTGGGCTCGGACAAACATCCACGTGCAAGGCCGTCTAAACGGAGGGAGCGGGGCTGTGTCGGCGGAGGTGGCCGTGAGCCGCTCCACCTGCTTTTGGTGCTTCTAGGACGATTCACCTCTTCCCAAACCTGGTTTTCACAGAGTCAGCGAATCCACGTGAATTGTGCACGTGTATGCAGGCGGGCCTGGAAACGGTTCTGACTCCTCTGTAGATGTGTGAGCCAGAAGTTTTTCTCCTCCCAGAAAATTAAGTTTGAGAAGGAGCATAGATGTTTATTTTTCTGTTTTTCGTTAGCGTTTTATTTATCTGTTTTGAGAGCGAGAAAGAGGGCGTGCGTGAGCGAGGGGCGGAGAAGAGGGTACAGAGCCCAGTGCGGGGCTCGGGGTCACCGACCTCGAGACCGGAGCCGAAGTCGGACCCTCCACCGACCCAGCCCCCCAGGCGCCCCCGCACAGGTGTTCGAACACAGATCTTCCACGTTTTACGGCAGAGAAGATACGACCTTCACCCCTCAGTGTCGTCCACGGGAAAACCAGTGCCTTAACCCACGCGGATTGGATTAAGCGTCCAGCTTTTTCGAGGAGGCGTTTCTGCAATGACGTTTGTACACAGATGCCTCGCCGAGGAAGCGCCGTGGCGCCGAGTGTCCCTCTGGACGCGCTCCAGCCGCAGGGGAGACCCAGCCGCCTTCCTCCCCTTCGCTCGCGGACACAGCCCTGTCGCCCCCACCCCCAGGCGGGGAGGGTCTCGTGCTCCTATGGTGACCCAGGACACACGGCACGTGCTTCCCGCAGACGTCCCCAGGCGGCTGTTTCCCGAGAGCCAGCCGAGGGGTGGACACAATCGTGTCCGTCCAGCAGTGGGGCGTGGGGGGGGGTGAGTTGGGGGACCCGCGGCAGGTGCGTGGTCTGGCCAGGGCCGGGCCCGGGCCCAGGGATCGGATCCTTCCGTTTGAAATGTTTGCTTTGTGACAGGAGCTCGAGGTGAGGAAATTGTCTGATGGCGTAAGGAGAAGTCAGCGGTCCCGTTGAACCAGCGGAGACCCGGGTGCGGGGGCGCCGGCACCGTTACCGAAACGTCAGCCCCGGGCACTTTCTCGCAGTAAAGTCGGCGGCCTCAGGTGACACCTTCAGGAGCAGAGGCTAAAACATGACTTTGGGTGTCCGTGTGCGGCCTGCGTCCTTTCTGCCTCTGGGGGGCAGGTAGGTGGGGACCGTTCCTCGCCGACGGCGCCGCTGGGAACGTGACTCCTCACTGGCACGGGAGTCGCGGCCTCCGGACCACCCAGAATGGAACAGCTCGCGCCTCCAGAAGGGAGCTTCCTCCTCCCGGAATGGCTCCCGAAGCTTCTGGTCCAGGTCACTCCAGAAGTTAGCTGAGGGCGGCCTGCGGGGCTCGGTCGGGTAGATGCCCAACTCTTGATTTCGGCTCAGGTTCAGGGGGTTGAGCCCCGAGTCAGGCTCTGCGCAACAGCACAGAACCTGCTTGGGATTCTCGCTTGCTCTCTCACTCTCTCTGCCCCTCCCG